GTTTTTCTAATAGTTAATTATTTATATGTATTTTATTTATTTAAATTATTACATGTCCTTTCGTATTATGTTATTATCATTCAGCATTGTCCAGTCGGTAACATATTAATGCATGTTTATTGCAACTGTTGCCTGATAAAAATTCTGATTTGGTGTGGTCAAATTAACATATTACAAAGCGAACCTCTCGAATATTCAAACTTCGATGACTCACACGACGATGATATGAATACAGCAATAAGATGGACACTATGATTGTAAATGGATATAATATTCTGCAGGCGTGATGGGTCTGATTTTGGTAAATTATTCATTTTGATCCACGAAACTTGATTCGAGATAATTCATGTTTATGTTACAGTCGCCGTCGATGGGTTATAATGATGTAGGTTATGTATTTTTTATAATTACTGATGTTGTATTTTGTACTAATTTGATTTTTGCAATGCTGTATCAATTCAGTTTTTTAATTTAATTTATTTTAGCAATCGTAATTATTAATTATGTTTTATCAAACGGAATGACCTATAATAAATATACTTTGATACTAAATATAATACCACAACGCAATACTGTATAACAAAATCATGAGTCTCTATTTGTTGAGAAGGCTAAATTTTTATAATTTTGATTATGATTAAATACAAATTAAGACTTGGTGTTGTTTCAAAGGAAGGCCTATGTTCCCATAAACTAAATAACGCGAGATATACTTGTATCATCTTTGTGGTTTAACGTCATACAATAACCAAAATTATGTGCTTTTTGACTCGGTAAACCTGTTAAGCAATGTCATTTTATTTTTGTGAAATTATGATTTCTCTTAACTGCAACTTAAGAAAGTAACAAAAAAGAAAATAATGAGTTGTACCAGTAGTAGGCCTAAACCGCTGTATGAATTGTTTTAATCAGAAATGTAGAAGTGTTGCAATAGACAAACATTATGTAGGTATGTGCGTTATAATAAAATTGTCTCGAATTTAATCGTTATTTGAATTTACAGCTGGTTGGCCCACAACTTTAAAGCAGATTGGCTTATAGGCATAGTCTTATTTATTATTGCGCGAATGCGACATACATTTTGAATAATAAATTGGATGTAAAAAGTGAAAATTAAAACGCAGCAGATGGTCAGTCAGTAATCCGTTCAATTGATTTATAAACAAATTGTCTCGGCTTAGTCATCGACCTGAGAGAAAAAAAAACATAAGATTTGCATGCACTCGTCCATGGATATAAGCTTCGGTACTCCATAATACTGTATAAAAATGCAATGTTCACGTTAGTTTATCAATCAATCAACTATTATTTCGGGAAGTACATATCCAGGTAAAACATATAAGTAAAGATAAACTTAAACTGCGTGTACGTATAAATTAATATCTTCTCAATTATATCATGAGCTAATTAAGTAATAGTAAATGTCCACTAAAAGCATCGTTAAATATTCTAAGATTTAAGTAGCAATGCCTGGTACAAGAATGCTTTTTTATGCATAAATTCTTGCTTAACATGAAGTTGTACACCGATTTATTTTTTCAAGCTTACCAAAAAGATAGTAATCGACATGGGACGAACAGTGCTAGTAGTGCTTTTAGTAATCTTGATGCATTATTGAAGCAATTTTTTTTTAATTCATAAGAACCAGTAAAATTTGCCCAGACTCAGGGTTCTTATTTTTTTTGCCGGTTTCAGGCTCAAAATGTTATTTGTTCTTATTTTTAAACACTTTTCAAACATAAAAAAATCGTATCTGTACAGCATTACTATACCGTATTATAGAGTGTATTACATAGTAACACCTACTGCAAATAAGGTACAGATACCATTTGTTGGTTTGCTTATTAAAAAAATAAAACCTAATTTGACATTTTACCTCATCCTCTATTGGGTCTTATTTTGTTCTTATTTTTCAAGCAATTTCAGCCTCAGTATTCTTATGAAATGTGTTCTTATAAAAAAAAGTGTATTCTTAACGAATGTACGAAAGCCTACAGGGTACAGTCTCTGCAACATGTCCAATCCATTCATCGGTCTCGTCTATCTATGTCCATTCATTCATCCACCGTACATAATGATACATATGTACATAATGTGAACAGGCCTATATATACCCATTCATCCATAACCTTCAATTTATTCATACATTCGTTCATCATCCTTTCATCCAGAAATCTTTATTTCTTATTCAAAATATGACAGAGTTTCATCAACCGAGATTTCAAAAGTTCCAATTATTTATTTAGAGCAATACACATTTACCAAACATAATACGGTACATATTTATGACATACATTCCATCAACTCCTATCATCTACTGACATTTGCTGTTTAGATGGATATGTGCGCTATATAAAATTACATTATTATTATTATTATTATTATTATTTTTTTTTTTTTTTTTTTTTTGCTACTGACAATTCCAAGCTCCTCTTATTTATACGCTGCTGACATCAATTATCACTGAACTACACAACCGATGCAATCAATGGCGATTCAGCACGTTTATTCCGAAATGATATAAATCAGTCAATTAACCTCTAATTAATTGAAACGGACAACACAAACTAAATTTGACTTCGTTAGAGTAAATTTAATTTACCGTTGATTATCCGTTATACAGTACGAGGCGAGTGTTGGCTTACAGGCCCACCTTCAGTATTTAGTCCTACTATCAAAACATTTAAAGACAGATATTCGTATCCTGGGCATTGAAATAAATTCTAAACTATGTTAAGGTAATTACATCTCTCGTATAGGTAAGAGTGCATCAATGCGTGTGAGTTTGTCTTACCGAGCAAGAAGATCCTTCCTCCACTCCTCCACCGGTTCTTTTGTAAGTGTACAAGTGTACCATCCGTCCCCTCATGGATACTGCTGCCATAGGCTGGAGCCCCAGTTTGCTATCTTAAAATTTTGGACAAGGTTCAGTAGAGATTTGTTAATTTGGCTGGAGAACAGATGGGTTCAACATTATATCCTCTTGCTTATTGGAGAGCAGTTGCCCACCCCTTTGTTTATTTTATATATACTGTATATATATTGTATATTTATGGAGTTTGTTCTTTTGGTTTATCAAATCTCTTTCCATTATAAAAATCATTTGGTCGTGTCACTTACTTTGACGAAGCCGAAGTGCAGAACCAAAAATAATTTGAAAAGAGCTTTTTCCCATGTATAAGTACTTCATGGGACAAGTACCAGTGTCCTTTAATAGTTTTTTTCAGACTTATGGCTCTGTACACAGATATGGTACAAGAAATAAAGATAACTTGTGTATAACAAAAAAGAACACAAATATGGGACAAAAGGGCCTAACATATATAGGGCCTAAAATCTGGAACGATATCAATGTTGAATTAAGACTCAGTAATAGTATTTATAAATTCAAAAGAAATTTAAATATCCATTACCATGAAAACTATAAGTGTAATGCTGTATGTAATCATATTTAACTTTTCTTCAGAATTTTCAATGACTATTGTTACTTTATTTATAAAATTTATTCTTTTGTGATATAGTAGTTAATTTTATTTCATAAACAATGGGCGCCCGTTATAAAGCTTGCTTGTTGTGGCGACCCTTTTTCCACTTTATTCAAATGTTCTGTCTATGTATTTTGTATTGATATTGATGATGTGATGTGGAAATAAACTTTATATTGAATATTGAAAAATTTCCTTCCCGAGGACAGTTTCCCTGATAAATATAACCTCATTTGTTTCAAGTGAAGTGTGAATCATCACCTTGTTCACTCTTAAAATAATTCTTCTTTAAAGTTTGTTTGATTGGGATCTGAACTATTTTGTCATCTTGTGTTCCTTGTCCTCTTTTCCCCTCTTTATCTAGCCTATACCTAGAGTGGCTTTGTGCCTTGTATTTAGCGGAATTCTATATAAAATATAATAATATAACGCGACGTCCATTTTGTATACATAACCAATCATATCGATTAAAAACATTTGTTAAACATTTTCTTTATAGATGAGGTTCGCAACGGCGCTTATCGAGAACTGTTTCATCCAGAACAACTTATGACCGGAAAAGAGGATGCGGCGAATAACTATGCCAGAGGACACTATACAATCGGCAAGGAGATGGTGGACCTTGTACTAGACAGAATCCGAAAGCTGGTAAGTAGTCGAGATAAGCTGCTTGGGTTTAGAAAATTATTGAAAATAATATATGCGTTGTATCGAAACATTCTTAGAATAAAATTAAAAATAAATCAGGACAATATCAGAAGCCCCATTGAAGGAGTGATGGCCATGAGGGTTAGACTTGCACCTTGAGGTCTTCCCCTTATAAATGTTCCTTTTTAGTAGTGTGTGTTTCTTTCCGCTCTTCTTAGCAATGGCATAGAAAGCAAATGCAATCGTGGTTATACATTCGAATAGTGGGTGAATTAACATTGGCTATCAGCCATCCTGTTCTCTGATATTATACCAACTTCTTTTCTTGATTCTAGTCTGACCAGTGTACCGGTCTCCAGGGATTTCTGCTGTTCCATAGCTTTGGTGGAGGTACTGGATCTGGATTCGCATCTCTCTTGATGGAGCGCCTGTCTGTCGACTACGGCAAGAAGTCAAAGCTGGAGTTTGCCATCTACCCAGCGCCGCAGGTATCCACTGCCGTTGTAGAGCCTTACAACTCTGTCCTCACCACTCACACCACTTTAGAACATTCCGACTGTGCATTCATGGTTGACAACGAGGCAATATACGACATCTGCAGACGAAATCTTGACATAGAACGTCCAACGTACACCAATTTGAATCGTTTAATTGGCCAAATTGTTTCGTCAATTACTGCTTCTCTTCGCTTTGACGGTGCCCTCAATGTCGATTTGACGGAATTCCAGACCAACTTGGTACCATACCCACGTATTCACTTCCCCCTCGCTACGTATGCTCCTGTAGTTTCTGCCGAGAAAGCTTACCACGAACAGCTAAGTGTGGCAGAGATTACAAACGCTTGTTTTGAGCCAGTCAACCAAATGGTAAAATGCGATCCACGTCATGGCAAGTACATGGCCTGCTGTATGCTTTATCGTGGAGACGTCGTGCCTAAAGATGTCAATGCAGCGATAGCTACCATCAAGACTAAACGAACCATTCAGTTTGTCGACTGGTGCCCAACGGGTTTTAAGGTCGGAATCAACTACCAACCACCAACCATCGTTCCTGGAGGCGACTTGGCCAAAGTACAACGTGCTGTGTGTATGTTGAGTAACACCACTGCAATCGCAGAGGCATGGGCTCGTCTTGATCACAAGTTCGATCTGATGTACGCCAAACGAGCGTTCGTTCACTGGTATGTAGGTGAAGGTATGGAAGAAGGAGAATTCTCAGAAGCCCGTGAAGATTTGGCAGCTCTGGAGAAGGATTACGAAGAGGTCGGTGTCGACTCAGCCGATAACGAGGAAGAAGAGGGCGAAGCAGATGAATATTAAATGTGCAATTATTCTAACAAAGCAGTTCATCTTCTGTTTTTTTTATTATGTTGTCAATAACTCACAAAACATGAAACTGGCAGCGACTCGTGCGATCTGTCATTTTAACAATGTACAAGTCTCCCTCCAATAACGACAACTATTAGGACCGTAGTTTCCCTGGTCTTTAGCAGCATTGGTCTTTAATTAGAAAAAAAAGTATTAAAGATAAAAAGTAGCTATTCACTTGTGACTGCAGAAATGGTGTCTTTAATTGGAGGGAGGGCTCTTAATTTAGAGAGAGACCTGTAGTTCAAAAAGAATATTTAACGGATGAAACAGTAATACAAAAACAGTAAATTGTTCAAGAGGATGTAGTATTAATGCGAGCCAAAGATTTTTTTTTCTCCAAAATGTGATATTGTTTAATTGTGCATTGTCGCGTAGTTATATAATGTAAAATTTGTGATTATTTATTTTTTGCAAGAATTTATGTTAATAATGTAAGGTGTTCGCAACAGTTTGTCGGCGTTATTGAACTGTGACGCAACAACTGGATGTATCCGACTGTTTTTCGTAAGTAATGCAGTTCGTTATAAAATTCCGTACTTTGCTTTTATTCCTTCCAGCTTTGTCTTCCTTTAGGCCTAGGCCTATTGATTTGTGTATGATGCAAATATGAACAAATGATGTTATCTTAATGTATTATCGTCACTGTTCCTATAGTATTAGACCTTGATAGTAATTATCGTCGGTTAGTTCGGACAGACCTTTTTGACAATACTCTGCAGATATTCTGATGGGGGAGAAAACGAGGATTTTCCGCTCTGCATTCGCTTATACGAAGGAAATGCATGCTTTCCCGAGGTGTGTTGCAAAAATTACACTTTACAGACAAATTTGACCACGTTTAGTGGAATGAATTCAATTTACTTCAATTTTGTGGAAATTCATTGACAATTAAAGGTTAAAAGAACATGATGTTCAAAGTATTGCCGCCAGCCAATCTCAGACTGCGTCAGCCAAGTCTTTTTGTTTTTAGGGTGATGTAATATCTTCTGAATTATAAATGGCGTTCATTTTTAACAATAGAAAGCAAATGCATTCTACTGTAAAGGAGATGAAATGAAAGTACCGTGCGTATGCCATAAGTTTTATAACCTTTAAGTACTTGATTATGACGTCGGCACTGACCCATTGATGCTGCACTCTTGGGTTTAACCGTCATCTTACGTGAATTTTAAATTTCAATTGATTTGAGTATTGGAATTAAAAGAAAGCATAAAAACGGCAATATTTTATTGATGTGATTTATTTTATAATTGTTAGATAATTAACTCAGATCAACTGGTTAGAATATTAACACAACACGTTATAAGAACGTTATTATTACTTCACAGTTTGGTGATAAAAAGTTATTTTATAGAACCACAGGTACGTACTTATAACCTAATCTCATAACGTTTGAACGTTCCTCCAACGTTGTGTGAACGTTATTTCGTGACATACAAACCTGCCCCCACCCCCACTGGCCCCACCCCTGTCATCTTCATTGTTGATCGTTTGTCCAGAGTTCCTATTCGATCCATAAGGACGCTAGCTGTCTCCAGAGGGGAATTGTTAATTTCTAAAGTAAATTTAGAATGTTATAGGCGTCTCTCATTTTATAATAACCTTCCAGCTGAGCTCCGTGATTGTACAAATAAAATTACTTTCAAACGTAAATTAAAATGCAGTGGCGGATCCTGGGGGGGGGGGTTCAAAGTGTTCGGACGAACCCCCCTCTGTGAAGAAACGTAATAAAATGCTATTGAGTCCTGGCTTACAAAGAGCATGCTAACCTCAAAGTTACCAACCGTCTCGCATCGTGCGGGACGGTCCCGCATTTCAAAGTGATTTTGGATGTAACACGCATTTGGCAGAAACACATGCGTGATCTTAAATTTGTCGCGCATTTAATCTACGCATGACGACGAATAATCATAATTCAAGGAAAATATATTTAAAATTAGAAGAAATTAGTTTTATTAAAAGTATAAAACAATCATGACTTGAGTCATTAGAGAGCTTTCGTTATCTCGTTTGAGATTCAATTCACCGAAAGCTTTGGCGGCGCATGTGGTCTTGCGCGTTCATTGTCACAACCAATGTTGATTATGTGACTGAAACTGCAGTTGTCATCAAACACGCACGCAGTCAGGTAAGTACAGTATTTACGTGAATACTTAATTCACTGACGCGTTACTAAAAATTGATTGGTATGGTTAACCAACTGGTTCTGTTTATGGTGGGTAAGGCCGACCTCCTATGGACTTCAAACGTGTAGGACCATGGTTCTTAATAGGTGACGCGGGCATAATTTGACTCATGAACAAATTAAATTAAATATTTTGATAAATAGGTGACCCGCGGGCATAATTTGACCCATGAACAAATTAAATTAAATATTTTTGATAAATAATTTTCTTATTATAAATGAAGACAACAAC